AGTAGAACTGCCCCATAAGGTTTCCAAGGAGCGGCTGGTGGATTAGAACTGCCGACCTTTTGGTTAGCAGCCGAATGCTTAACAACTGCGCCCACCAGTGGGTGTGAAATGACCTCTTATAGTTTGATTTCCCGATTACTGACAATGAGGAAACGTTGGTGGCGTAGTGGTTAAGTGCTAGAGCTGCTAACCAAAAGGTCAGCAGTTTGAATCTACCAGGCGCTCCTTGGAAACTCGATAGGGCAGTTCCACCCTGTCCTATAGGGGTCACTAGGAGTCGAAACCAACTCGACAGCAGTGGGTTTGGCTTTTGTTTTGTTTTGGTTTAGATTAGCGGTACTGTGGAAGAAAAGGCCTGGCGATCTGCTTCTGTTAAAATTACAGCCAAGAAAACCCTGTGGAGCGCTTCTACACTGTAACACATGGGGGTCACCATGAGTTGGAATCTACTCTGCTGCAGCTAACAGGTTTACAAAAATTAAAAAATCTGGTAATACCAAGCATTGGCCAGCAGGTGGAGCAATGGGAACTGGCCAGCCCTGCCAGTAAGGATGTAAATTGGTGCACGCATTTAGGAAAAGTCAGGCATCACCTAGCAAAGTTGAAGGTCCCCATACCCTAAAAATCAGCAATTCCACTCTTAGATAAATATCCTAGAGACACTTGTGCTTAAGTACACTACTAAGAATATTTGTGACAGCACTGTTGTGTAACAGTCCAAACCTGAAAACAATCAGAATGTCTCTCCAAGTTAGAATGGAGAAATTGTGGCAAATTCATACAACAGTATACAGTACAGAAACAAAATGAACCAACCACAGCTACCTGAAACAACACAGATGAATCTCACAATGTGGACTGAATATTAAGGTAGTTAGAAAACACTACATACAGATATTTGCAAATATATGATGTTTGCTGTTGTTGTATGCCGTCCAGTAGATTCCAACTCATGGAGACCCCATGTGATAGAGTAGAACTGCCCTATAGGGTTTCCTTGGCTGTAACCTTTACAGAAGCAGATTGCCAGGTCTATCTACCTAGGAGCTGCTGGGTACGTTCAAATAACCAACCTTTCTGTTAGCAGCTGAGCACTTTAACCATTGTGCCACCAGGGCTCACGTCTGTAAAACAAAACTGTGTTGTTTCAGAATGCTTACAGAGAAGATAAACCTATAAAGAAATCATTGGAATGATTATTACAAAAGTCAGGATAAAGGTTACCTAAGTCATGATGAGGGAGAGTGGGAGGAGCAGGAGGTGGGCATTATGGAGGTGTTTCTTGTCCTTAGTGGTCATTACATGGAAAATAGCTTTATACATGTTCCCTTAACTGGCATCTCTCTTTTGAATGCTCCTCTTAATGAAATAGAAAGCAAGGGCACCAGCTGGGAATGAGGATAGGAAAGGAGGTGTTGACGATCTGAGGAGAAAGAAGATGGTATGAAAGAAACAGAGATGTTGGAGAGTGGAGATGTTCCCTATCCTGTGATAGGGAAAGATCATATTTTTATCTTATTCTTTTATGAAAACATCTTTCTTGATTTATTATGCTTTTTCTCTCATATATAACATTATTTTATTAATTTTAATATACTGCACTATATGTAGTTATCCCAAACATTTCAATTATAATGCCATTTACTGTTTAAAAATAAAATTTTAAAGCATAATTAAGTCTTAATAAACTATATAATTAAAGATAATATCATAATACATTAGTTATTTATTATTTCACCTTCAGCTTTAGAAAAGCCAATAGTTTATATTTAGACAAAAATACAGAGGTCATACAGGGATTTTGTGACTTTTTATCCTTCTTTCAACTTTTTATACCAAGTTGCTTTAGTGATAAATTCTACATAAGTCTTCAAACAGATAGATATTTATCACCTCCTTATTTTATTGATCTCAAGTCCTAAAAGTAATTTTTAAATGTCAGAAAATATAATCATATTAACATCACAAAAGTAAATATTAATAATTATTTAAGATTATTAGAAACTGTTACACTGCACTCTTAAACTTTACTCAGAACATTTTAATAGAAAAAGTGGATAGGTCTATATAATTTTACAATATTGTCTGGGTTGTACCAATTTATAAAAATAATTGTTTAAATTATTATAAGTTTTAGTTGTAAGTCCATGTTGATAATTACATACCTTTAAGTACCAACTTACATAATGTTAATTTAGTTTTTACAATGGCAAATGTAGTAAAGTTAAACAGCTACCACCAATTTAGCTTTAAAATATGCCATGAGTTTTCATTTTGTAATATCCTGTAATAACTGTAACATTGTCAGAGACAAGACATAGTCTTTTTTAAAGAATTTGAATCTACAGATATTGAATCTAGAAATATTAAAATTGATGTCTGCAGCTTTCAGGTAGTTCAGGGAAAAATATCGCGCGCGCGCGCATGTGTGTGTGCGTGTGTGTGTGTGTGTGTGTGTGTAGACAGAGTGCACACTCAAATAACAAAGCCAAACCCAAAACCCGTTGCCGTCAAGGGGATTCCGACTCATAGTGAACCTGTAGGTCGGAGGAGAACTGCCCCACAGGGTTTCCAAGGCTGCAGATCTTTACAGAAACAAACTGCCTCATTTTTCTCCTGTTGGGTGGTTGGTAGGTTCAAACCGTCAACCTTTTGGTTAGCAGCAAATAACAAAACAAATGGGACAATATGTTAACAGTAAGTGAATTTGGGCAAAGGGTATACAGGTGTTCTTTGTACTTTTCTTACGCTTCCAACTTTTCTGTAAGTTTGAAATTATTTCTAAATAAAAAGTTAAAGTGAAGAAAAAAGGAGGGGAGTAGTCAGGGTTTATCTCCTTTATAGCATAAAAGTCAAGATCATAAGCTATAAATTTTTGTAATGAATATTTTCTTCCTTAGGATATTTAGTCTTGAAATACAACTAGCTGCTGTTCTGTTTTTCCTTTCCTTGTGCAAACTCTATGTCCCACCTCCAATCCAGACTCTGTATTTCTCCACATTGAACCCACAAGTGTAGGAACGTCCCAACCCATCCAGTTCTGCACAAGGATCAGCTGTGGGAACTCATCTGCCCCTGTTCTGGACCAGCCATTTTCTGTCGACCTTGCTGTCAAATGCTCTCTGATCTCATATCACCAACAGCTGTGTCTTTAATTTCTGTGCTACTCAGTTGAGTGATTATCACTACTAGGCTCTACAATCAGGTCATTATAAATGGCAAATTTGTACAGTAAGGAGGTGCACGTGGAGGTCATTATCATGATCTCATCTATAAGAGGAAAATTGCAACAGATATCATCTTGGAAATCCTCAAAATTCCAGAGTTGAAACAAATAAGCACAGTTACACAGTGTGATTCTGTTCGTGAAATTCCAGTTCCTGAAGCGGTGCTAATCACAAACATGCCATCAATAACACAAACTCATCAAATGTCCCAGTTGAAAGAAGGTAATTTATTATCATCAGCAGCAGCAGCAGCAGCACAAAACTAAATCCACTACAAAAAGAAAACAAAAAACATACCCTAAGGGCATGCGACTTGCTGACAGTGTCAATAACATCATCTTCATGTACAAGGGACAGCACCCTGAGGATATAAACCATATCACAGCTTAATAATCAATTCAATAATTCAGTCACCATTTATTGAGCACCTAGGCACAATGGAGGATTTAAAAATGCATACAAGAATCCCTGCTTTCAAGGAGTTTTACAGTCTAGTAGTAGGAGGTATTCAAAAACACCAAAAAGAATACAGGGCCACAAGAGATGTTTAAAGTATTATTGGACAGGGGCATCACAGGAAACTAGTATTACATTCAGTTGGGGGAATCAGAAGAAGTTCCATAGACAACGTGGCATCTGAGCTGGACCTTGAAGGCTTGGATGGATTTTGGCAGACTGCCACGTGGAGAAGGGACACTATGGGTAGAGAGAATTAGTGTGGGCCAAAGCATGGTCATGGGAGTCTTCATGGCATGCTTAGGGAGAGAACAATAATCCAGTTTGGCTGGTGTATGGGTTCTGTGTAAGTGGAATAGTGTGATAAAATGCTGAAAGTTATACAGGAACTATATTTTTAACGGTTTTGAATGATAGGCTAAGATTTCTGATCTGTAATCTGTATCATGGTAACTATATTTACCCACATCAACAAAATACACAATTATCTGTGAAGAGATATGATCATTTCATTTCCAGATTTCTTAGGGAAACACAAGTGGTTTCTAGGCAATGTTATCACCCTGCTATAACAAATGTCCCAGCAGATAACACCAAGCAACCTATAGGAAATTTTCCCTTTTGCGCAATTAAATCACTTCCCTCAAGGCCTTTAATCTTTCCATCCAGGGACCACACCTCTTTCCAATCCCATCTCCATTCCCACCAGTTTTGTTGGTACCTGATCAGTTTAGGCAAGTCCAATTTGGGATTTCCACCACAGCAGTAGCTCTGAAACTAGGACCCACAGCCTTGAAAAGTAAGAGTGGTAGTGGTGGTGGTAGGGGTGGTGAACAATGTCGTGGAAATGGTTCCATCAAAGAAGTTCTATGGAATCCTCATCCTAAGAGTCAAGGTAGTTCTTTGAAACTGGAGTTCCTGATCCCCCATTCAGTTTAGCCTGGAGGACAACTGGAGAGGTCCCAAAACTCACAGTGCCTGATTAAGGTCATCCTTATAAGTTTCCTCTTATTCTCAAGGAATTCCTTAAAGGAATGGCATTTCATCTGGGTCACAAGTTATTTAAAGGCCTGCTGGGTCTGAGGCTGCTGGAGCTGTGGATAGACTGGGGTGAGTTTCTCTTTCTGTCCAAGGAATCTTGTTAGATTTTGTCTGTGCCTACCAAGATGGTAGTCGGAAACTTCACCCATGCAATGATGGGTATTAGTGGGATGGAATGGCCGTATTAGGTAAATAAGCCGAAGAAGTAAGCTACATAGAACCAACCTCAGAGGGCTTAGAATAACAAAGATGCCTGGCCACACTTCCTGAAGCTGGTCAGTCTTTCAGCTCTTTCCTGGAGTGAGACCTCCTCTGCAGGAAGTCATGGATAGCAGTTGTGAGGCCCCATGTCACACTGGACCTTAGGATGACCAGGGAGCCCCCACGGTAGATCAGGAACACCTTTCGGCCCCTAGTGTCCCACACATCCTGGGCAGAGGCCCACAGGCTAGGCATGCTCTGCCAGCCAATATGGGACTGCATATTGGCAACCAGCACAATCAGAGGATACAGAAGTAGGCAGGTAACTGTTCCATTGATGCTACCAGACACCAAGGCAGGAACCCAATAGGGCAGGCCTTGTTCTGCCAGCCCGTACTGGATGGGATCCTTGAAGGAGAAGTACAGAGCACTCCCCAGGCTGTTCCTGACGAGGATAGGCCAGAAACCCCGATAGTAGCCCAGCGACAGCCGCCCCCAAGGCCCGTAAGAGTTGAATTCCTTGAGGATGCTGAAGGTGCTAGGGAAGCGGGCTTGCTTGCGACCATCCTGGAGCACATTCTGCACCCTTTCAAAGGGGCTGAGCGCCACAGCCTCCACCACACCAGACATGAGCCCTGCTGCCCAGCGGTGTCCCAGGGAGTGTGGCCCAACAGGGGAAAGAGAGCCTAGCAGGCTATCATAGGTCCCAAACAGTAGAGTCCCTTGCAATGTCTTGGAGAGAAGAGGGGGGTAAATTCCCCGGTAGAAGTATTGAGGGCCTTCATGCCAAAGCTGTCTCACAGCCTCAGACACTGCCACAGCATGGATCTGTTGCCGGAACACAACCTTATAAATAGGAAAGGTCAGAAAAGTAGACATAAAGTTGGAAATGGCCCCAAGGGCGTAGGCCTGAGAGTGCCAGCTTTTCTTTCCTGCAGCCTCTGCTCGCGTCCTTTGCTGAAGCTCCATCCCAGGAGAGTGGTTCTGTTCCCCCATGCTGAAGACAACTGGGAGCAGATGGAAGAAACTGGCAAGAGTGGAAAAAGAGAGGTTACGCTGACCGTTTAATTCTGTTGGTGAGCATTTCCATTGCTTAGTTAGAAACAGAGCCACAATAAACTCAGTTCTAAGCAAACAAGCAACTCTTTGGGGCAGTTTCCGAGAAATCGGCCCACCCTTAAGAACTAAGGAGCCCTGATGGCTCAGTGGTTAAGCGTTCGGCTGCTAACCAAAAGGTCAGCAGTTCGAATCTACTAGGCGCTCTTCGAAAACCCTATGGGGCAGTTCTACTCTGTCTTATAGGGTCGCTATGAGTCAGAATCGACTTGATGGCAATGAGTTTGGTTTGGGTTTTAAGAACTAAAGAATTCATCAAACTTAAAATAAATGCAGTTAGTTTTTCTGGACAGAGTCATCTCTACAGTGTTTTGCTGACACAAAAGTTTCCAGCATTCAAAGAAGGCTTAAGATTAAAGAAAGTAAATAGTGGGGGAGGGGGGACACACTGCAAAACCCATCGCATTCAACTGTCACCACACGAAATTTTGCTTATTCAGTTGCATTTGATAAACTACCAGAATAATTAGCTGCTATTTCCTTTTCCGGGGCGCTGGTGGTGCAGTGGTTAAGAGCTCGGCTGCTAACCAAAAGGTTGGCAGTTCAAATCCACCAGCCACTCCTTGGAAACCCTATGGGGCAGTTCTGCTCTGTCCTATAGGGTCGCTATGAGTTGGAATCAACTTGATGGCAACAAGTTTGGTACTCCCTTTCCCAAAATGTGGTACTCCCTTGTAGAGGCAGAAAGGCATTCATAAGTTGTAGTGCAATGCTTTCCCTAAAAAGTTGGTAGTAATTCTGGGGAGGGGAGAATCTCCCACCTCCCCCGCCCCCTCAATTTCTGCTGAAGTTGTAGCTGTTTAATGGCAACGTTCTCTCTGCCTTCTCCACCAACTGAGGAGAGGAGAAAGCAGCTGTTCCTGGAAGGTCGGCACCAAGAGGCTCCAAAACCCATTGCCGTCGAGTCGATTCCAACTCATAGTGACCCTATAGGATGGAGTAGAACTGCCCTATAAGGTTTCCAAGGAGTGCCTGGTGGATTTGAACTGCCAACCTTTTGGTTAGCATCTAAGCTCTTAACCACTGCACCACCTGGGCTCCCCAAAAGGCTCAGCACCTGGCAATTTCCAAGCCTGAACTTGTAGACCTGTAGCTATATGATAGAGCTGGGTTTCTCAGCGTTGGCACTGCTCACATTTGGGGCCAGATAACTCTTTGCTGTGGGGGACTGTCCTGTGCACCCTGGCCTCTACCCACCACATGTCAGTAGCATTCCCCCCTAGTTGTGACAACTAAAAAATGTCTCCAGACATTTTCATATGTGCCCTGGATGGAAAAATCACCCCCTGTACTAGAGAGAGGAAACACTGGTGGTGGAGTGGTTAAGAGCTACGGCTGCTAACCAAAAGGTCAACAGTTCGAATCCGCCAGCTGCTCCTTGGAAACTTTATGGGACCGTTCTACTCTGTCCTGTAGGGTCGCTGTGAGTCGGAATCGACTTGATGGCAACAGGTTTGGTTTGAGTTTTTGGTACTAGAGAGAATAGGCAGCCCAAGGACCCCAAGCTATTGCACCCACCTCAGAAAGGCCTGGGAACAGGTGGGGTGGTATGAGAAGCAACTTGGGAGCCAGATCACATGAAGGAACTTTGAGAAACGAACGCTCAGTGCAAACCTGAGGAAGCTTGTCACAAAGGAAATAGAGGCTCCACAGGGCAGAGAGGAAGGGTGTGCAGCGGTGGGAGATGATGTGCTAGAGGAGAGAAAGCAGAGAGACATATGGGGAGAGGGGTGGAGGGGAGGGTATGATGACCTGGGGGATTCACATTTGGATTGACAGGGACAGGTAGCCCGGCAGGAACTGCAGCTCCAGAGGTTTCCCACAGAAACCTGGGCTGTGTTGTCCCAGGGAGGGGAGTTGGGGTTCTAATTATGTTAGCAGTTGATGCTCCTCTCGGTAGGGACAAAGGTGGTGCAGCTGAGGCACTGAGGGAGGGGTAGAAGTCAGGAGCTGCAGAAGCCCGCTGCAGCCTTCCCCGGGCTGCCACTCCCAGAACCGGGCTTGAAGTGCTTTGCCTTCCACAATTGCTACATGAGCTCCTCCCTGGCTTCTGGCTCCAGCTCCATTCATGGTCCCTCAATCTAACCTTACAACTACTCCTCTCCCCTGGAGCGACACTTGATGGAGGGGGTGGAGGCTCAGCCTAATCTACTCTGCCCATCAGGATCTCCGCCCCACCCCCAGCATTCAATTTTTGCCTTAAGCCTCAGCCTCCTTAACCCTCATGGCCAGCAGGAGACTGGGAGGGCCCCTCTGCCTCCGACCCTTTAGCTGGGAGCTGCCCAGGATGGCAAAGGCTCAAGAGGCCCACTCCCTGCATCCCTCTGGGGTTCCTCTGGCCCCCTGACAGCAACCTCCATCTCTCCAGGGCCAAAGGAGACCTTCTCCTGACCCCCAGGCAGAAGGCAGCTCCACTCAGGCCCCCAAAGTGACAGGGCCCTCAACACCCACCAGCTCTCTGTGTCAAGAACATCTTCCTCCCCAGATCTTACCTACACGTAAATACGGATGGCTGGTGAGGTAAATGGAGCCCTGGTGGTGAAGTGGTTAAACGTTCGGCTGGCTAACCAAAAGGTCGGCAGTTCGAATCTACCAGGCGCTCCTTGGAAACTCTATGGGGCAGTTCTACTCTGTATAGGGTCACTATGAGTCAGAATTGACTGAACAACAATGCTTTTTTTTTTTTTGGTGAGGTAAATATTTGTCCCCTCATCTACCTCAGAATGCAGTAATGCTCCACCTCCTCCCCACCTTTCCCCAAGTAACCTATAAACATGTGTTCACTGACTGCATAGGGCAGGCTGATAAAGCAGAAAGAAAACTGAGCTAGAATTTGGGAGACTAGCATTCTAAGCACCAGTTCAGGTTATCAACATCCCGTGTGGCCTTTGGAAAGTCATTGACAGCTTGCAGCCCCTTCTACCTCAGTTATAAAATGAACAGACAGGACAAAATGCTTGCTAGGTACTCTCATACTGTACAATGTCACAGGGGGTTGATATGAGGGAATTTGGACCAATATTTGGAAGAGCTTTTACATCCCTGATTCCTTCTGTCATGTTTGCAAATCATTTTTAGGGGTTAAAGGTGAGCAATAATTTAGAAACACTTTACCATAAATGGAAACCCTGGTGGCATACCAGTTAACAGTTTGGCTGCTAACCAAAAGGTCAGCAGTTCGAATCCACCAGGTGCTCCTTGGAAATTCTATGGGGCAGTTCTACTCTGTCCTATAGGGTCACTATGAGTTGGAATCAACTCAACGGCAATGGGTTTTATCATAAATATTTAAGTTATCATTCTAAAGGCACATTTTATAAATCTAATTCTCCCTATTTTATTTGAGGGGACATTTTTCTCCTATGTATTTTTCTGGCATTTTAAGCCGCCAGGCTTTGGGGGCAGACAGACCTGAGATTGGAATCTGCCTCCGCCACTTAGCTTCCTTACTGATTTCGCTCTGTGACCTTGGGCAAGACACTTAACCTAACTTTGTTTCTTCAGCTACAAAATGGAGACAATAAAGATTAATAAAGTAAAATGCGATAAAGTGGTTGAGCATCTCCAGTATGGCGCTCTCAATAAAAAATACATTTTAAAAAAACAACAACACAGGATGCTTCCCTATCTCCCATCTGTCTCCACAGAGCACATGCTCCTGGCTCCTGCAGGACACTCTCAGGCCAGCCCGAACCAGAGGAAGTGGCTGTTAGAACAAGTTCTGTGTTCACGTGGGAGGCAGGGAAGACCTTTCTTCCGTGATGCAAAGGTGCTATATAAACAATCCCGGGAGAGCCTGACCCCTTAACATGAATTCCACAGTAAAGAACATAGAATGGGTCTGGACTCTGCCTTGAGATGTCACCTGTGCCCTAGGATCTGCCTCTTACTGTTAATAATCTAGTAAAATGAGCCCAAGGGGTTCCAGACTACTCTGGCCAGTCTAGTCCAGATGGATCCTGTGTGGCTATCCCAAGATCCAATGCTACATTCAGGGCTTCCCTCAGCCAGTCCTTTGGTCAGCTCACAAACATGTATTGATCATCTACTAAATCACTGTGGAGCTAGAGATGAATAGAAGTTAGTTCCTGCTGTCAAGGAACACAGGTCAACAATGAGCTAAACTATACTGTCAGGGAAAATACCAAACCAAACCTGTTGCTTGCCAGCTAGTCAATTCCAACTCATGGCAACCCCATGTGTTATAGGATAGAACTGCTCCATAGGGTTTTCTTGGCTTTAATCTTTACTGAAGCAGATCACCAGGACTTTCTTGCTCAGTACAGCTTGGTGGGTTTGAACTGCCAATCTTAAAGTTAGTAGTTGAGTGCAAACTGTTTATGCCACCCAGGGACCTCTAAGCAGGGCTTTGAACTGGTTTGAACCGGTTCAGTCATGGCTGACGAAGTGAAACCACAACAGACCCAAATTTTTAAAATTTGGGTGATTCGGAACCATAACCATAATGGGAAAAATTACAGGTTGAAGCCCTAGAACGGGAGACTCGGAAGAGGTGTACTGAGCCCTTTCAGGAGCCTGAAACATGAGACTGGATTATTGCCAGGACCGAGGAGAGCGAAACACATTCAAAGTGGCACAGTCAGCCACCATCTTTGAGCAGGGCATTGTTGTTTCCGACTGTGCAAAATGAGACAGGTAAGAGGGTTTGGTTGCTATGCAGTGAGTACACTGCCCTTGTTTTCAAAGTGGGAAATTAAGTTTCTAGAAGAGCATCAAACCATAATTTTTCCCATTCTAATTATGGTTACAGGTCATCCAATTTTAAAAAACTGGGTCTCCAGTGTTGCTTCCTTGGCCATGACTGAACCGGAATGAACCGATTCATAGCCCTGCCTCTAAGGAAAAATAAAAGGTACACT